TTTCTTGCCTAATTCCCCAGCAAGAATCTCTAGCATAATATGACAAGAGTAGACCTCCTTGTCTTATCCTGATCTTGGTGGGAGTGCAAGATGGGAACATTCACTCCTTCATCACTAAGTATGATGTGCAGTTTGGATATTTCACAGATGTCCTTAATTATGTTGAGCAAGTCCCTACTTTACGTGGTTTTATCATAAAAGGGTGCTACCTTCATCCAAACACCACAGATTCTTGCTTTTCTTATGGAGTTTTGGTAAGTTTTCTTATGGAGTTTTATTAGGTTTTCTTGAATAAATATTTCATTTGCTGTATGTTTTTAAGACAATTTCCAGAGACTGTAAATGGTTGAGTGTATATGTAGATACATAGATAGATAGATAGATGATAGATAGATAGATAATTTGATCTTTACAGGTATGTTGGGCAGCAGGTCTATGGAACCTTTTTTGTGCTGCACCAGAAATGAAACTCCATTTCTCTTCCTCTCTTATCTACTCTGTTTTCCTAGGATCTCTATTTAACATACAAGCCATTCCTGAAATATCCTGTGATCCTTGGTTATTCACTCATATTTAAAATTAAAACAGTGCATCTTAGCCTGTTCAGGCTGCTCTAATAACCTATCTTAGACTGGATATTGTATAAATGACAGCTATTTATCAGTATAGCTGTGGAGGCTGGGAAGTCCAGAATCAAGACACCGGAACTTTCAGTGCCTGGGGAGAACCCATTTCTCAGAGTTAAGAGATCTACGTGCCCTCGGCCAGTGGGCAAAAAAAGGGGCTGGACAGCTCTCTAGGGCCTCCTTTTTAAGAGCTCTAATCCCATTCATGAGGGCTCCATCCTCATGACCTAATTGCCTCCCAAAGGTCCCACCTTCATTCCATCACTTTGGGGGTTAACACTTCTACATATGAATTTGAGGGGATGCTGACATTGAAACCAAAAGGCTAATTGCTCTATAGCAGGACAAGGCCAGCAATAGACAGTTCAATAGGAGCCAATTACAGAATCAAGTCTAGGTTACTGGTCAAATATGATATCAGAATAGAATATAACACCACAAAAAGTTGGAAGTCAGCGGAAAGATAACTATGCTCATCGGATTTTCTTTCCTTGGTGGAGCAAATCAAGTCTAAACTGGAAAAACACATCCTTCCCTCCCCATTCTCTCTAACATTCTCCAAACTTGAATAATTTTAATCATTATTTTTCTTTAATTTTGGAAAGATCCTTTTGGAATCAATATATTTTGGATAAAAATATTTACCAAAAGCTCAGTGATTTCTTTAATTTCTCTCTCTGATTTTCTTTGATTAACTTAAAAGCAGAGTCAGGTTTAAATATGCTTCTTTCAAAAGTCATGTTTAGTATTATCCTATCTTTATAAAATAATTTTTATTCATACTTGTTCCTCTGATTACTTATTATTTTATAAACAATCTACCAACCTTCTCTCTCTCTTTATATATACATATATATATCTGTATATATATATATATATATGCACACACATGCAGAAGATGCTTTGCAGTAGCTAATGCTAATGATGTTTTCCAGTTGCTAATGCTGCTCATTTCTGGGTGGTAGGAATTTGGGTCTTTTATTACTTTCTTCTTTTTAATTTCTTTTTATTGATTGATGTTTTAAATAATAACTATGGGTTATAAAAAAACATTACAAGGCAAAGCAAATCTCATCCAACTGGTTCAGCCAACCAACCAACCAATCAGGGCTGGAACTGAGGCGCCTAGGGGACAACATTTAAGGAGGCATTGCTTCTCAGAGGGCCCTGCAAGTACAGCTTAGATTTCCTTGCTCATCTCTCTGTAGTTCCAGGCAGCCCTGCAAACATTACAGGGGGAAGGCAGGTAAATACAGGTGAAGAACAGCTTGGTTGGAATTCTGCCTAGATGTGTAAATCATACTCCTTCTCTATGTAAATGATTCTTAGCAGTTTTTAACTGTCTCCAAAAATATCCATGAGTAAACACCTAGTTTTCCCATTCCTTTCTCTCAATGCAGCACATGCTGGATATATCACATGCTTTAGCCAAAGAAGGCACAGAAGGGGATGTGCTGTGGTCTTCTCCAGCATATCTTCCTCCCTCAGTTAGGACTTTCCTGATGGCCTCAGCTGAACAGTACAGCATGTCCTTCATCTTTCCGGCCCCTTTTTAATATCTGCCTGGAAGTGATCTGTTTGCAAATGTACCCACATTTTGTATACGTGATTTTATTTTGTACATTACCTGTTGACTGCTTGTCTTGCCTCATTAGAAAATAAGCTGGGGCCAGTGCTGTGGCGCTGTCGTGCAGCGGGTTAAAGCCCCAGCCTGCAGTGCCAGCATTCCATGTGGGGTGTTCCAGTCCCAGCTGCTCCTCTTCCGATTCAGCTCTCTGCTGTGGCCTGGGAAAACAGTGTAAGATGGCCCAACTCCTTGAGCCCCTGCACCTGTGTGGGAGACCCAGTGGGAGGCTCCTGGCTTTCGGCTTCAGATCAGCTCTGCTCTGGCCTTGCAGTCATTTGGGGAGTGAACCAGTGGAATGGAAGACCTCTCTCTCTCTCTCTAGCTCTATCTCTCTCTGTAACTCTGTCTTTCGAATAAATCTTTAAAGAAAAAAAAAAGGTAGAAAATAAGCTCTGCAGAGCTGCCCTCTTGAAAGCAAGAGGGAACACACTAGGTTTCTGTTAGTATTTGTGGAACACCAGAATGAATGGGTTCAGTGAATGACTGTGGATGTGGTTCTATTCACTGACAATATAAGCATGAATAAAATGCCATCTTTGCTCCCTAAAGAGTCCCTGTGCCAGACTCCCTCCCCCTCTGCCTCTGCTCCCAGCTATTTATTTGCCTCACACAATCATTATCTCAGAAATCCATACCTTTGGGTTTCTACTCCCTTTTATTTTATGCCTCAACTCTTGCCCAGTCATCAGGAAAATGCTTTTTCCATTCCTTAAGAAAAATACTCACTCTGACTGATGAGCATGAGAGGTGGTGCTAGTGATTACACATTTATCAAGAGAAAATTAATCTTAAAAATAGCAACAACTGCGGGGCTAGAGCTGTGGCACAGTGGGTAAAGCCACCCCCTGCAGTGCTGGCATCTCATATGGGCGCTGGTTCAAGTCCTGGCTGCTCCACTTCCGATCCAGCTCTCTGTTACGGCCTGTGAAAGCAGTGGAAGATGGCCCAAGTCTTTGGGTCCCTGCATCCACGTGGGAGACCTAGAAGAAGTTCCTGGCTCCTGGCTTTGGATAGGCGCAGCTCCAGCCATTGCAGCCACCTGGGGAGTGAACCAGTGGATAGAAAACCTCTCTCTCTCTCTCTTTCTCTCTCTCTCTCTCTCTCTCTTTCCACCTCTCTGTAACTCTGCCTTTAAAATAAATAAATTAACCTTTTAAAAAATAGCAACAATGGTACCATTAGCTGTGAACATCCATTAAATGTTTGCTATACACCCGACTATGCCAAGAAATTATAAGCATTGCCCAGTTTAATCAGTGCAGATAAGGGAACCAAGGCAACAAAAAGTAACTTGTCCTGGTCACAGAGCTGGTAACTAGTCTGTACCCATGTTAGCCGAGTTCTAGAGCTGGGCTCTCCTGGGGGTAACAGAGGGTTTGCTGCTAATTTCCAACATAATCCACTCTATGGGATTTTCTCTCCATTTTCCTTCAAACCATAGGCAGAAGGAGACATTGCTGTCTTTACATTCCTCGTGTTCTGCACATAGAATGTCAGGGATGTCACAAAAAGATTAGCTGGGTATGTTTTCAATCATTACTAGTGTTAGAAAGTATTTTATCTACTTTTTAAAAAATTGTAATTAGGGTTGCAATAGAAGCAGAGGCTTCAGATTTAGTCATCCATAGTTCAAAATCTAGCATCTTTTACTGTGTAATGCTAGGTTACTCCTGTGCAGCAAGAGGACAATGGCATCAGTGTAATGAGAATAACCTGTGTTTGTAAGGTGCCTGCATAGAGTCTTGTTTAACATAGGTATTCGGTGAGCACCTCTCTCTTCATCTCTTTACTGCCCACCTTCACTTTGACTCTCCACTGTACCCCACACACATTTTAGCTACACTGTGTATATACCACCTGCGTTAGTTTTGTATTGCTGCTCAATAAATATCTTGTGATTTGGCAGCAACATTTATTATCTCAAATTTTCTGTGGGTCAAGGATCTGGAAACAGCGTATCTGGGTGATTCGGATCCAGACTCTCATGGAGAGGTCAGAGGTGCTGCAGTCATTTCAGCTCAATCCCCCAAGCTTATATGGCTGTTGACATGCTTCTGGAGAACTGCTTCTCAGCTTGCTCACGTGGACTTCTCCACAGGACTGTTAGGATCTGGCTCTTGCTTCTCCCAGAGCAAGCAACACTAATAAGACTGAGAGGGATGCTAAAGGGGAAGCTGTTGGCTTTTAAAATCTAACCTTGTAAGTAACATCCACACAAGTCAGTAAGTCCAGCTAACACTCGAGGGAAGCAAATATTTCAAGAGCATGAATACCAAGAGGTGGAGATCATTTGGACTACATTAAAGTCTGCCTATACCACATATTTTTAATTCTTATTGTTGATTTGAAAGAGGAAGAAAAAGAGAGAGGAGAGTCAGCAAGCTTCCAGTTGCTGATTACTCTCCAAGTGACTCAAAAGCTGGATGGGCTAGACGAAAGCCAGGAGTCTGGAACTTAATCCAGGTCACCCACTTGGGTTAGAAAGACCCAACTACTTTTCTTTTTAAGATTTATTTATTTTACTTGAAAGTCACAGTTACACAGAGAGAGGAGATGCAGAGAGGGGGGGGTGGAGAGAGAGAGAGAGAGAGAGAGAGAGAGAGAGGTCATCCATCCGCTAGTTCACTCTCCAGATGGCCACAATGGCCGGAGCTGTGCCAATCTGAAGCCAGGAGCCAGGAGCCAGGAGCTTCTTCTGGGTCTCCCATGTGGGTGCAAGGGCCCTAGGACTTGGGCCATCTTCTGCTTTCCCAAGCCATAGCAGAGAGCTGGATCAGAAGTGGAGCAGCCGGGTCTCGAACCAGCACCCATATGGGATGCCGGCACTGCAGGCAGTAGCTTTACTCACTACACCACAGCCATCACCTGCTGCTTCCCAGGGCGCATATTAGCAGGAAGCTGAAATTGGAAGTGAAGCTGGGACTCAAACTCAGGCCCTTTGATATGGGGTAAGGTTGTCCCAAGCAATGTCTTAATCACTGCACTAAACACCTGCCCCTGCATATTTTTAAATAGTTCACAGAGTCAGCCTAGGGATATGATCTATACATTCTTATTTTATCACTTCATAGAGAAAAGTTAATCTTGCCTTTATACAAAGGGTTTACATATTTCAGGAGTATAAATATTGTTAAGTCGGTTTGGGGCTTCTACCATAGAGCTTCAACACTATCGGCAAAATAATAATAATGACTTATTTTTCATAGTCTTACAGGTTATCACATCATCTGCATTCCATTCCCATTCTATGTAGTTATATTTTTCCTCCAGGTTCAGTTTGTTTTTTCTTTAAAACCATTTCCCCTTTGGCTGTCCTCTTGGTACATTTTCCACTTCCTTCTCTTTGGTCTACAGATGCACACAACCCAATTTCCTTCCTCTGGGAGTGCCAAAGATCAGGTAGCTAGTCATGGGGAAACACAAACACTACTCCTAGCTCACACTTGGAGGGCAACTTATTTATTATTCTTAACTAAGTCACAGTGTGCTTCAGCCACCTCCAGAGAGTGTCCTGCCATGGACAGTCTTGTCTTCTTGGTCTTTCTCCTGCTGGTCACCTTTAGTTATGGCAATGACTAGTCACATTAGCCTTCCAAGAGGGGATGAAATGGATCAAATAAATTTATACCCATTCAGATTTAAAACAAAGATGATATATACTATAGTTTGTGTAAGTGGTAAAACATCATAGATGTTAAATATGATTAGAAATATTAAAACTTTAATGTATAAATATTAAAACATATGTTTCATACAAATATTGCCTGCTTTGAGATTCAAAGGTCTAACAGTGGAATCTGACATTTCATGTTCTTTCGTTTTTATGAACTACTGAGAGGGCCTATTAAATTAGAGAAATTATTTATTTGTTGTGTTGTCTATAACTGCCAACCACTCTTAACAAATATGCTTTTGCATTATTTTTTCCAAGTAAAGAGGGAGAAAGAGACAGATGAATTTTTTTAAGATTTATTTATTTATTATTTGAAAGGCAGAGTTAGAGAGGCAGAGGCCAAGAGAGAAAGAGAGAGAGATCTTCCATCCATTGGTTCACTCCCCAAATGGCCACAACGGCAGGAGCTGCGCCGATCTGAAGCCAGGAGCCAAAGGCCTCCTTCAGTCCCTCACTTGGGTTCAGGGGTCCAAGGACTTGGGCCATCTTCTATTGCTTTCCTTAGCCATAGCAGAGAGTTGTATTGGAAGTGGAGTAGCCAGGACTCAAACCGGCACCCATGTACTTCAGGCGGAGGTTTTATGCACTATGCCACAGCGCTGGCCCCATAGATGAATATTTAAAGAAAGGAGGATAAGGAGCTCTGGGTAGGAGAGACTACTAACTGGGTAACATGTTGATAGTTACTTTGGGAAGTGGGAAATAAAAAGCGATAATGGAAAAATGGAGGTTCACAAAACCAAGAGCCTGGGACTGACATTGTAGTGTAATGGGTAGAGCCACTCACTGTGACGTCAGCACCCCATATGGGCAATGGTTTGAATCTTGGCTGCTCCACTTCCAATCCAGTTCCCTGCTAATGGCCTGAGAAAAGCAGTGAAAGATGACCCAAGTGTTCGGCCCTTGCCATCCGCATGGGAGACCCAGATGAAGCCTCTGGCTCATGGCTTTGGCCTAGCCCAGTCCGGCTGTTGCAGCCATCTGGGGAGTGAACCAGTAGATGGAAGATCTCTCTCTGTCTCTCCTTCTATGTAACTCTGGCTTTCAAACAAATATCTTAAAAAAGAAAAAAAAAAAACATGAAACAAGAACCTGATAGGATAACTTATGATGGCGGAATTTCCACCATTTATTTATGCTAACGGTATTCTTAGGAGGACATTTTGAAGAAGAGGAAAAATTATGGCGCTTTTACAGTTGTTAGGGACCTTATACTCATCTGCTCTGGTTGGACGTGAGAAGCCGAGTCAGAATAGGGGTGAATCTTTTGACTTCCAATGCTATTTTGTTGAAGAGCCACGGTAGAGACTCACTGAATTCTTTAAAAAAAAAAAAAAAACCCCTTTAATTTAATAAATATAAATTTCAAAAGTACAACTTTTGGATTATAGCAGCTTTCCCCCCCATAACCTCCCTCCCACCCACAACCATCCCATCTCCCACTCCCTCTTCCATCCCATTCTTCATCAACTGTGGATTTCTAGTAATAACTGTACTTACATCTGCTGTAAGAGAATTGACTTAACTTTTTAACTTAAAATATGAAGCTTCTTATTTTTTGTCTCACTTAAGACATTTAAAAATCTGAAATAAGCCTGTCAAGTAAATATTCCCTATATTCAATCTGTATATAGATCTTTAGCAAAGTATATGTTATAAATGAATTTTGTCCAATTCTAGTTACACAGTATGTCTGAGAGAGGTTAAAACTATCTGATGGGTTCACATTCTGATTGGCTTAGAACTTAAAGAATACTTTCTTCACAGGTGTTTGTTGGTTCAACTGTTTTAAAGCAATATAATATCATAGTCAAGACTCATATATTAAGCTTTGTGCATTAGATGTGTACCTACAAAATTGTCTGCAACTTCATTTTTCTCATAAAAAATCCATTTAACATTAAAATCCATTTAATCCTTTGAGTAAATTCTTTTTTTTTAATTTTTTATTTTTTTTGACAGGCAGAGTGGACAGTGAGAGAGAGAGAAAGAGACAAAAGGTCTTCCTTTACCGTTGGTTCACCCCTCAATGGCCGCTGCAGCCGGCGTACCGCGCTGATCCAAAGCCAGAAGCCAGGTGCTTCTTCTGGTCTCCCATGCGGGTGCAGGGCCCAAGGACTTGGGCCATCCTCCACTGTACTCCTGGGCCACAGCAGAGAGCTGGACTGGAAGAGGAGCAACCGGGACAGAATCCGGCACCCCAACTGGGGCTAGAACCCGGGGTGCCGGCGCCGCAGGTGGAGGATTAGCCTATTGAGCCACGGTGCTGGTCTGAGTAAATTCTTTTGACAAAGCAGCAAATCCTGGGAAAGTAGAAATCACTGTCCCTTTGAAATTTGCTATAAGATTAGGTAGCCTTGTGTTTGATTTTCTTAAAGCAGAGCCTTTCTTTAAACTGGCTCAGCTTATACCAATGATAGATTTTTAATAATATCACATCCTGATATTTCTACTGAAACTAATTTTTGCCTCTTTTAAGGTATTACAAAAACAAAAGAAATGTATTTGTCACAAGCCACACACATATTAAGAAAGTAAAAATTTTTACAACAAACAGATACTCTCTTAAACACATTTTTGCCTTGTATTTTGTGGAAAGAAAATGGAATCTTAATTAACTCAATTAAGGAAATAGGAAATAGTGATAGGAAATAGTATGAACCAATTAGAATCAAGTAGATCACTGGTCCCTAATGTAAATAAACATGACTGAATAAAACCTTATCTTATTACAAATACAATTGGGAGATGAAAAATAAGCTGTCTCTGATACTCATAACAGTTTAAATTTTTAAAAACTGTCAGTCTTGAGTCCGTCATTGCGGTGTAGTGGGTAAAGCTGCTGCCAGTGATGCCAGCATTCTACATGGGTGCTGATTTGAGTCCCTCCTACTCCATTTCTGATCCAACTCTCTGATAATGTACCTGGGAGGGCAGTGCAAGATGGCCTAAGTCCTTGGGCCCCTGCACGCACATGGGAGACCCAGATGAAGCTCTTGGCTCCTGCCTTCGGCCTGGCCCAGCCCTAGATGTTGTGGCCATTTGGGGTGTGAATCACTGGGCAGAAGATATATCTTTCTCTTTCTCTCCCTCTTTAACTCTGCCTTTCAAATAAGTACAAATAAATCTTTACAAAAATTGTCAGTCTGGAAGTTGAGTCTTTTTTTCTCTATTGAAGACAACTCTATCATTACCATCATAATACTATAAGCTGACTTGCTCTAAAGGTGACCTATTTTCCAATCAAGTTAGCAACAATTTTATGGGCGGTATAAACCTGACTGGAGAAATATGATATCCTTCAGGCTTATTTTAGTTAACTGCTCAACATATTTTTATTACTAGGGTTCTTGGAATTATTTGAATGGCACTGTTTATTAGAAATAGCAGTTTTGATATAGATCTCCTTTTCTCTTATTATTATGAATTAGACCTAGTAAAAACTGTCCACATTAATTTAATTTGTATTTTAGGAACTGTAAGTTTAGAGCAAAATGAGAAGACACTGATCTACATGACTTTCTTACATCTTTGTGGAACAGGGCAGAAAATAAATGAGGGATCTGTATTTAAATGAGAAAAACATACCTTTTGATCAAGTGAGGTATTGCATGCAACCGTGTTCTTTTAAACTTTAAAGCATTATACAAATGGAAAGCATTGCCACAACCCAAGGAAAGGCTGCTAGGGAGCTTCCTCTAGGCTTCACCCTATATGTTCCTGTTTAAATGGAGAAGACCATGACGCTGATGCAGAGGCCTAGAAAAAGACAGAAACAGGGGTGGGTGCAAGTTTTGATTGGGTCTTTTGATGCAACTCTTTCCTGTTGAAATACTTCACAGTCCCATATCTACGGATCTGTAATTTATGTCTTGTTTATCCATATTAAACCCTCAGATGGTAAGCTGTCTTTTGGCTGGTAAGTGGGCAGAGAGTACTGACAATGATAGCGCCTCATGTTTAGGGTTCTGCAGTATACAAGGTCTTTCTAATACATTAACCCACAATCATCTGAACAGTCCTTTGAAGGTGGCATTTATAATATCCTTTGTAGAACCAAAAAAAATGAATATTAGAGTTAAATATGTGTCACCCAAGATCTCATGCCTCATAATGGCAGATGGAAAAATTTGATGCAAAAGCATGAGTTCTTCATAACACCCTACGCAGCAGATAGCATCTGGCCCATTTCTACCACAGCAAAATGTTGTTCAATATTTGACTCATCATCAGCACATTTATTAGGAATTGAGGAAAAATAGAAATGAAAATGAAGCTCAAATTGCTCATTTGTAACTTCTCTGGAGAAGTGTATTGTAATCTTCATAGTGTGAAAATTTGGATTGTCCACACAGTGTTACAATCTGTGAAGCTAAATAAATATATGAATGTAACTTATAAAAAGCAAGAGAGAGTTTTATTTTTTCTCAGTAACAACTGAGTGGTTGCCATAAGACCAACCTTCCCACAGAAAGCAGTAATGCTGACAAAATATAGAGATCACCAATTTAAAGGTACTGGAGAGTGGCCAAAACCAAGAAGAAACTGAGGAGGAGTCTATGTCGGGAAGAGGGTGAATTGCTCATTTTTTTTTCTTGGTTTTGTCAAGTATACACAAGGCTCCACTACAAATATCAACTAAAGTTCATGCTTAGAGCAGTCTATTGGCTTGAGGTACCAAAGATCAGTGCTGGGGTAACTATGGCAGCTGGAAAATCAGGGGAGTGTAGACCTCTGGAGGGATTCAGTAAGAAAAGAAGCTCCAAATTCTGCACATATGTTTGCTGGTTGACCCTTCACTTCTGCATGCCCAGTCCAGAGCCAAGTAGCCTAATTCATAAAATATCTAAGGGGCAGGCATTGGATACATGAATTAAGATGCCATTTTGTATGCCTGCATCTCATATCAGAGTGCCTGGGTACAAATCCTGGCTCTGCTCTTGATTTGAGCTTCCTGCTAATATGTGCCCTGCAAGGCAGTAGGTAACAGCTTAAGTACCTGGGCCCCTGCCACCTATATGGGGGACCCAGTGGAGTTCCTGACTCCTGACTTTGACCTGGCCTAATCCCAATTGTTGCAGTTACTTAGGGAGTGACCGAAAGGATGAAATCTCTCTCTCTCTATCTCTCTCTGCCTTTCAAATAAATAAGTGTACACACATACACACACACTCACAATAACAAATAACAACACAAATTTCAGCTGTCATTCACTACAGAGAAAATGAGAGTTTGCAATTTTATGTCATTTAGCCTAACTGCCTGCTAAAATGAAACAATTTCCTGTTGGAAACAATTGCCAGTATACTATTTTAAAGATTAATTTTGATAGGTTGGTGTTGTGGTGTAGTAGATTAAGCCTCTGCCTACAGTTCCAGCATCCCTTATGGGCTCTGGGTCAAGTCCTGGGGGCTCTACTTCCAATTCAGCCCCTGGTAATGTGCCTGGGAAAGCAGTGGAGGATGGCCCAAATGCTTGGGCCCCAGCCCCGGCGTGGGAGTCCCTTAAGAAACTTCTGGCTCCTGCCTTGGCCTGGCCAGCTCTGGCCATTGTAGCCATTTGGGGAGTGAACCAGTGGAATGAAGACCTCTCTCTCTGTCTCTTTTTCTGTAACTCCACCTTTCAAGTAAAAAAATTAATTTTGATACATAAATTTTATATAAAAGTTTCTTTTTTAGTATATAGTTTGATGAGTTCAATAAATGTTTGCATCATTGTAACTACTACCACATTCAAGATACATATTTCTGTTACCCCCAAAAAATTCCCTCATGCCATTTGCTATCAATCTTTATCCCCAGATTCTCTCTCAAAACCCAAGTATATTCTGATCTAGGTTGTGCCACTTTATGTTAATATACATTTTCTAGAATTTTACATAAATTGAATCATATAGTATACACACGGCATCTGGCTTCTTTTGCTCAACATGTTTTTGAGATTTATCCACAATATTGCATATGCTACAAAGCAGTTTGATCCTTTTTATTGCTAAATAGTATTCCATCCTTTCAATGTACTAAAATACTTTCATCTGTTGATGAATATTTGGGTGGCTTCCATTTTTTATTAAATTTTTAAACGACTCCTGAGTATGTTTTCATTTTTCTTGTGTAAATAACTAGGAGCAGATTGGCCATATCATTAGGGTAAGAATATTCTTACAAGAAACTTCCAAACTGTTTTATAAAGCAGTTTTACTATTTTATACTCCCCCTAGTAATGTGTGAGTTGCCCAAATTTTCAGTAACACTTGGGATTTTCAGCCTTTTTTTTCTTTTCTATTTTTAAGTCATCATAGTAGATAGGCTATAATATCTCATTTCAAAATTCACCTGCTCAAACATCTGAATCCCTTTTTGCCTCTATTGTAACAGCTACTACTTTGGATTTTCACTTAAAAAAATTAATGATAAAACCACAAAACCAAAATATTAATTCAGAATTCATCATTCTCCTAACCTTAGAGGATAAGCTTTGTGAGGTTAACACTCTTCTTGTTCTTTGTTGTATTTTTAGTGTTTAGCAGAATGCCTGTTTTGTAGTATGTACATCTATTAGTTATTTGTTACTATGTAATAAATTACTCCAAATGTTATCAGCTTAAAGCAATTAACATTCATCATCTGTTTCTCAGGGTCAAGACTGGGGAGCAGATTAGTTGAGTGGTCCTAGGCCATGATCTACCAAGAGATTTCCATCAAGCTACCAGTTGGTGTGCCTGTCCTGTGAAGGTTTGACAGGGGCTGTAGGATTGGATTTTTTTTTAAAGATTTATTTATATATTTGAAAATTAGAGTTACACACAGAGAGAAAGAGAGGCAAAGGGAGAGGTCTTCAATCCGCTGGTTCATTCCCCAAATGGCCACAATGGCTGGAGCTGTGATCAGCGCCCGTATGGGATGCTGACATTGTTTTACCCACTATGCCACAGTGCCAGCCCTAGGATTGGCTTTTAACACGATTCTATCACAGAGCTAGTGGCACAAAGCCTTAGCTCCTTGCTAGCTGTTGTGAACGGTCCTCGATTATGCGCCACGTGGACCCCTCCACTGGACTGTTTAACATGCTAGGTGGCTTTCTTAGTGAATGATCTGAGAGAGAAAAAGAAATTGGTGACTCACACCAACCAGGTGATGTGGGTTGTTGGGACCTCCCTGGAGGCTGGCTACCCTATTGTATTTGTTGATTAGACTGATGTGTGTCTGAGATATTGCCATTTTATATATATATTAGACACATAATTATACATATATAATTTTGTTTAACCCTGACAACAATCCCATGAGCTACTGTGTGGGGAGCAACTCGGACTAGACTAAGTTACTGGAATTAAGACTTATTCTATGCATCTGCTCTCCCACAATATGGCGCTGGGAGAGAAGAAAACAGCTTCTACACAGCTGCCTCCAGTTCAGCCAATAAACTGTAGGACTTGCTCCTGATTGGAGGAGAGCAGCGTACTCGGCGTGTGGGCAGCCGAGTTGGGATTGGCGGAGGAGGACTATAAAGGAGGAGAGAGACGGCATGCACCAGGAACATCTAAGGGGAACATCTAAGGGGAACACCTGTGCAGCCCCCGAGAGAGCCGGCCGGCGGTGTGCCGCTCCCTTGCGGAAGTGGGGAATGTGGCCAGGGGGAACTGCCCTTCCACGGAGGTGGAAGGGACAGTAGCCAACCCGGGAAGAACCAGCAGCAAACCCGGGGAGGGCCGAGCAGACGAAAGAACAGCGCAGGGTCCTGTGTCGTTCCTCCACGAAGACGGGGAGCGACATAATGGTGCCGTGACTCGGATATGAAGCCTAGGCAGGGTTTAGTGTCGTTCCTCCATGAAGAGGGGGAGCGACACTACTGTCCTCACTAGAGAGACAATAAAACTGAAGCTTATAAAAGTAACCTGTCTAAGGCCGGCACTGTGGCACAGCAGGGGAAGCTGCTGCCTGCAGTGAGGGCATCTCATATATGTGAAGGTTTGAGACCTGTGGCTGCTCCACTTCCAGTCCAGCTCTCTGCTATGGTCTAGGAGAGCAGTAAAGGATGGCCCAAATGCTTGGGCCCCTGCACCCGTGTAGGAGACCTGGAAGAAGTTCCTGGCTTGGGTTTGGATGGGCCCAACTCTGGCCTTTGTGGCCATTTGGGGAGTAAACCAGTGGATGGAAGATTTCTTTCTCTGCCTCTGCCTCTCTGTAACTGTGCCTTTCAAATAAATAAATACATCTTAAAAAAAAAAAAAAGTAACCTGTTCAATTCTACAAAGCTATTATGTGGCATGGCCAGAATTAAAACACAGATCTCTTTATCCTCAAAGGCTGTGAAAATATGGTTCACAGTGAAAATGAATGAATGAATTACATTAATCCAACAAGAAACTGATTTAGATGAACTTTTTTTTTTTTAAGATTCATTTATTTATTTAAGAGGCAGAGTTACAGAGAGAGAGAAGGAGAAACAGAGATAAAGGTCTTCCATCTGCTGGTTTACTCCCCGAATGGCTACAAAGGCTGGAGCTGGGCTGATCCGAAGCTAGGACCCAGGATCTTCCTCTGGGTCTCCCACATGGGCGCAGGGACCCAAGCACTTGGGCCATCTTTCACTGCTTTCCCAGGCCACAGCAGCAAGCTAGATCAGAAGAGGAAGCAGCATGGGACTTGAACTGGTACCCATATGGGATGCCGGCACTGCAGGTGGAGGTGCCACAGAGCTGCCCCCTAGATGGACTTCTAATACTTATTGAATCAGATTCATTTGTATATAGAAATTATATCAGGAAAAAAGAAATTCCAAACTCTTCAGGTAAATAGAGACCTAATTGGTGGGGGCCAGTGCTGTGGCTTAGGGAGTAAAGCAGTTGCCTGCAGTGGTGCTATCCCATATGGGCACTGGTTCAAGTCTCCACCTCTGATCCAGCTCTTTGCTATGGACTGGGAAAGCAGTAGAAGACGCCCTAAGTCTTTGGGTGAGAAGAAGCTCCTGGCTCCTGGCTTCGGATCGGCCCAGCTCCAGCCAGCTCCAGCCGTTGTAGCCATTTGTGGAGTGAACAAGGAGATGGAAGACCTCTCTCTTCCTCCTCTATAACTGCTTTTTATATAAATAAATAAATCTTTTTTTTAAAAAAAGACAGACCTAATTGATTTCTTATTCTATGTTTGACAAGTGTTGATTTCATTTTTTTTTCTCTCTTGCCAAGACTGTCCCAAATTCTAATCCTCGGAAACAAGGAAAGTCAAGAATTCTTCCATTGACTGCTCAGTCAATTCTATAGACTTTGTGGATCATTTAGTGAGCATAGGGCACTGTAGGCAGCTTCCTGGATCTACAAAGCAAGTCACACAGTGTCTTTGGGACTAAGGTGATACAAAAATAATCACAATACAGAAGTGTTAGCACCTTGGAGAGGCACACAGGGAATGCAGTCTGAGGTTGGACTTTTTAAAAAGACCAGACATATCCTTAAAAAACTTTTGGCATTTATTAAAATAATCTAGTGTGGCAGTCTCTGGAAATCAACACTAGATAACAGAGCAAGTCAGCCTGATTTAAAAGCAGTTGGAAAACTTGGAAAAAAAAAAAAAGACTTGTTTATCTTTCTGGACATCTCTCAGCTAGGAACCAGTTTTCCAAGAAAGGTGGCAGAAAAAGGGCTTTACATGTTTCCAGAATGCAAGAATGAGGGAGGAGGAGTGGCGGTTCAAAGTCCAGGTAGCCTTCCCTGAGAATGCAGGAATCAAATCAGGACAGACAAAAAGAGAGGGTGAAGTGGGTAGGGTAGCAGGAGCTTGGGGATTGACTGGAATGAGACTTGAGGTGATAAGGGTGGGGTTGAAAGGAAAGCCGAACCCCTCCTCACCCGTCGGGAAGAAAGGCACGCTCCTAGTACATTCCAAAGGATTCAGCGTTGCCTCCTAAACCGCTTCATCGCCGAACTGACAGGAAAGTTTGCAAACTAGTTTCAGGACAAACTTGGCCATTGAGCATGCTCGGCGTTTTCAGTCTTCTGCAGAATTGGGAATTCCCTGGCTCCAGATTTTAGCTATAGCAGCTCTGGGGCTGAGCGAGTGTGAGAGAGCCGGCCTGGTGACGCGGCAGGGGCCACAGGTGGAACTTTGAGTATACTTTAGGACAAGGGCTAGCCGGGCTGGGAGTCGGAGGAGACCTCCCCACCCCCACCCCAAAACCATGCATTCATGCGACTGGCCTTGACTGGTAACCCTTTGGGAAGAAGCGAGTTTGGTTATTCGGAGATGGGGATTGTGGTGCAGACGGTTACAGAATAAGGGCAGTTCGGGGTTCCGGTCCGGGGCCAGAGAATGGTAGTAGCGAGCTTGCCAGGTCCTCCCCAGCGACTCCTAGGGCTGCCTATTGCCCTTGTAAGGGACGGCTGTCATCGCAGAAAGGCAGAAGCCGGGTGGAGGATGCTCACTCGGCATCCTCTCCCTCCGCCCCAGCCCAGGAGAGTCGCCAGGCGCCAACGTCCGGCTGGGCTGACCTCGGCTCACAGCCTCACCTTCGGCGGCGCGTTTCCGCACGTGGGCTCCTGGCGGACAATCGCACTCTCTGACTCCCACGCTCCTGGTGGCATGGACAGGGCGATTTCCTGGTGTTGTGCATACGAACAAAACCAAGGTTGCGGAAGACCGGCTCCCCGGGCCGCGGAGTCTGCAGGCGGTGCCCGAGCCCCGGGTGGGGACGTGGCCCGCTCGCCCCTCTGGGGCTGCTGTGAGCCGCGAGTACACGAGTGCCTCAGCGGCAGGTGAGCCACCCGACCGCCTCACCTCGCGGCGCCCACTGCCCGCATGGGGTGCCCCTTTCTGACCCCGGAAGAGAAAGTTGTTGTGGGGAAGGGAGGTGAGAAGACAGCGAGTTGAGTGAAACTAAAAATCAAAGTTGTCCTCCTCCCCTCAGGCCGCCTCAACTTTGCCTTGAGCCCCTTCAGAGACTCCCTGGCTCAAAAAAGCCCGACGCTACCCGAAGTCCGGGCCGGAGTCTGGGGACAGCCCAGCGGCCGACCCACAGGTTTCCCGACCCCCTCCAGACCCAGGTCTCTAGGAAAACCCGGAGCGGAGCATCCCCGGGAGGGGAGACGCCCTCGGCGCGCACCCCGCAGCGCGCATGCGCAAGGCGCGCGGTGGCTGCGAGTCGGAAGCTTCGCGCGGTGGCGGCGGCTGCGGCGGCGACTGGAGGGTGGGAGGGGACGCACCGGCTGGCTGGCGGGCGGGGGCTCTGGGGCGCGACAGGGGCGCCCGCCCAGGGTTCCTTGGAGCGTTTCGTACTGCGGAACCCGGCGCGGGGAGTGAGCGAGCCTGAGAGCCAACAACGAGCGCGGAGCGGGCAGCGGGCGGAGCGGAGCGGAGCCGCCGGGTAGAGCGGGCTCGGAGCCCCCGGGTCTGCGCGGCTCGGGACCTGGCGGCGGTGGGGGCGGCGATGTTCCACTGCATCCCCCTGTGGCGGTGCAACCGTCATGTGGAGACCATCGACAAGCGCCACTGCTCCCTGGTCTACGTCCCCGAGGAGATCTACCGCTACGCCCGGAGCCTGGAGGAGCTGCTGCTGGACGCCAACCAGCTCCGCGAGCTGCCTGAGGTGAGTGTCCGGCCTCACCTGCGGGCAGCGCGGCCGGCCCTTGTAGCTCCTCTCCCTTCTCCTCCCGTCCAGCGCCCTCTCCCACCTGCAGACCCCGGCCTGCCCTCGGGGCGTGCTGGAACCCTCTGCTGCATTCACCTGCTCCTTTCCCCCCTGGCGTCTCTACGCCCATCCTTCCCCCAGTGAAAGTTCTTTTCCGTTTTTATACGATGTTTTCCGAGTAGTCACTAGAGCCTGTGCGATCGGAGAAACGTTTTGGTGGGCTATCAGGTAGCTTAGATACTCGTCTAGGTCTTAACACCCGGCACTTGTGTCCGGGCAGGTGAGAAGCCTGGTGGTTGGGGCAGTTTCCAGCTAGCCGGAGGCTACCGAACGCCACATCTCGTCCCCGGGGGCGGGCCTCTTCGCCCCGGTGTGTCCCCGACCCCTTGCCGGGGCGCGCCCCCCCTTTGGCCGAGTAAGTCCTAGAGGACCTTGAGACCCGGGCAGGCGCAGGTGAGCCGCACTATCTCGGCATCTGGGGAGGAATGTGCTCCCAGGCCTTATCGCGGGTGGGCTGTGCTCAGGAGAGCTGTAGCTGGGCCGGCCTGCCGTGGTCCTCTGGAGGACGCGACGTAAGGGGGCAGGGGCAGAGCCGGGCCTGGGGAACTGCGGGCAGGTAGGTGCCCCCGATGCCCGCCGCTGGGGGCCTGCCTGCGTGGACCTGTTGCGTGCTAGGAGCGGCGATGAACGTCAGCCAAGAGGCTCTGCCCGCAGCCTCTCCTGGAGCAGCCACGTTCAGCCTGCTGCCTTGTGTCCTGGCAGCGATGCGTTACCTCGCAGGAGTTGTTTATCACTCTACCGCGGCCCAACCTGTTGAGGGGACCTGTGCTGGTTGTGGTGTTATAGAGGGCCAGGGGACTGCGGACTTCTTTCTGACCTTCGAGTTTGCCTGGGGACCGAAGCTTTACTCACCCTTAAGGAGGAAGGTAGTGTGTGTGCAGGAAGTCAGCGTGTAGAAAGTAACCGAAAGGTGTGCAGGAAGTAGGGAGGCTTCTGGGAGTCGGGGAGGGGATCTGAAAGGCCCGAACGAAACATCTTGCTTGTCCTTTAGTTAACACAATCCAAGCCATTTTCACAGACAGGAGTGGTTCGTTCTGGCAGGTTAGAGTGACCTGACATGTTCTTCAGCGCTGACAGTGTGTGAAAAGTCAGCACTGTATGTTTTCCCTCATCGTTTCAAGTACTGTTGCTGTTCTTGGATTAACTTTCCTTGGTTCATGTGGAATTGATTGGATGGTTTGCTCTGTGTAATCACATAGATTATCCTCACTAGGATCTTTGCAAATCACCTCTTCCCTCCCCTCTACCGGGCTTTATTTATTTTAGAAGCAGAAAAGCCATCCAGTTCCCTCAGGCATTTATTATTTTGCAGACATTTTCAAACACATGGTTTTCACTGGCCTTTGCTTCCTTAAGTTTGACTTAAGTCCTAAGCTCACTCAACTGCTTTAAGTTGTGTAATTTTAGGCATTGAAATATAGAACGTGTAATTTAATACTTTTTAAGGGCTTCAGCATGAAGTTATTAAAGATCGAGTGTGTTATTCAGCTAGAGATGTTTCCGTGCTGGTTGTGGTATTTGTTTGTTTTGTTTTGTGGAACTGGAGGATTTCCTTTGACTGGATTAGCCTTTCTTTCCTTTCTGCAGTTGCTGGGTTTTCTTGTAGTGTTGGGGAATTCAATTTGGCATGGGAAATTCAGGGTTTTGGAAGTGCCAGGTATTTCTACGATTGTAAATAGAAACTTCTCAAAGACTCAGAAAACAGTCTGATGGCACTCTGTAAAAACAGTAAATAAGCAAGCTTTTCAAAGGCTAGAGATGGTCTTGTTTGGGGAGTAATTACTACTTTCACAGCTCTTAAATTAGTATTAACATTTTTAGGTTGTGTAAAGTCTACCTGTTTTTCCCCCGTCTGGGTGCCTGGGTGTGTACATGCCAGACACCTGGCAATCACAGTTGCTCCTTCCATTCACATTGTTTTCGAGAGCTATCTGTTGTTTTGGCTCTGAGGTCAGTTGTTGTAATGCACTACCACTGCTCATCACTGCCCTGCCACTTCCCCAAACACATTTCCTTACCTGCCCCATCACCTGTGAGTCTCTCTTGCTGACAGACGGCCGTACCAGCTGTGTGTTCTCCTCCTGTAATTTGTTTGGAAGCACAGCCAAGGCGGAAGCCTGCACCCCCTACCCCGACAGCAAAGTCAGATCCTCTCTCCAGGCCAGGAAAATGACAGCTACGTTCTTTCCTCTGAAAGATCTGCAACCTCTGATTTCCTCCAGTATCCTCATTTCATAAATTGAGACTCAGAGTTGAAATAACTTTCTCACTGCTAGCCAGTCAGTTAGGTGCAGGTGCTGGTCACCTCGTGCGTTCAATTGTCAGCCAACTGGTATTGATCCCAATAAACAACTAGAAGGAATCTGGCCTATTCCTTTTCTTACACTCATCAAACCTTCAGTTCTTTAGCTCCTTCAATTTTACTTAGGTCATTAAGACTTGGCCTCATCAAACGTTTATTTGTCCTCCTCTATTTACTAGTTACTGGGAATAGAGAGATTAGGTGTGATTCCCATGAGCTGTTCACAGCTGTGTGGGGAGGCCGATGACTCTAATACAGATGTAGTGATTGTGGGGTGGAGAGGGCGGCACAGTTAATCAGACTGCTCACAGGGAGTGATGGTTACTTTCTCAGTCTAATCTTTGTGCTTTATCATGCTTACTGGTGGCTCAGGCTTGTGACAGCTTCTCCACTGCTGTCCTGCAGAGAGAGCTTCTCAATTCTCATTTTTAGCTTGGCCACAGGGTGATAGCATCGCCATCCCATTGCCCTGCTTTCTGCAGTTGGATCCTTTTGAGACTTGCACTATTAGAGACAGTCTCACTCCAACCTGTTTGAAGTGCTGGCTGGTTTGTATTCTCTCTTGTGAGCACATACACTGGCATCAGTAGGTCTTGTTCAATAAACAGTTATTTATGTCTTGAGTGATTGTCGCTGCAGCTTATAAAACAAACTTCCTCTGCTTTTTTCTCTTCCTGTGAGCATGCCACTGCTCCTGCATCCATCCTTTTCCAGCATAGTCAGAATATTCCAGTTGGAAGGGATTCAGAAATAGACATCTGTATGATGAAGTTGTTTTGTTTTGCCTGCCCTACAGGCTCCTTGCTTCATTGCTTCCAATGCCATTGGCTGTCTCCTTGGTATATACCAATTCGCAGCTACTTTGAATAAGTCTGTTTTCATTGTGAGCTCTGTAGCTCCAAGAAAGTGCTTAGTGTCTTAGGCAGCAGATGTTTTAATGTGCCCAAGGCTTCATAGCTTAAAATAGTTTCATCTTGTCACCTCTTAGAGTTCGCCAGATAATGTTATCTCAAATACCTTTCTTTTCCCATCATTCCTCATTCTCATATCCTGCTTAATTTTCTCTCCTATCCTCTAGATCACGTGTTGCCACCTAATTCTAGACTAACTACAGGAGTGAGGTGGTCTTTGAGGAGCCCATGGAAAATGCATATTATGAAAAAGCTTCATAGATTTCAAAATTTCTTGCACCAAAGGGAATGGATTTTTTTATTTCCATTTTGCCACACCTTTTGGAAGTCCCTCATACTTGATTATTTGCTCTGTTCCTCCTACTGCAATGTCAACTCCATGAAGGTGGGGTGTTCAAGGCTGAATTCAGGACAGTACTGGTATAGTATAGGCACTCAAATGCTGTTGCATGAATGAGTCCTCATGTGTATTGTCAAGGGGAGGCTGCCCTTGTTTCTTAGTCATTGTAATTCTCCCTGCTGTGGTCTGAGTTTTGTATACAAGTCTGTTGAAACTAGAGAAGACACAGAGTCTTCTTTTAGAATTCAGTGGCCACATCTACCAGTCTTTGTTCTCTGGCCCTTCTGTGCTGGGCAACTTTGACCGCCTTATCTCTGAAATCTTTTTTTTTTTTTTAATGCATTGTAAGCATATTGTCTACATATTGTCTACAATCGCCCACTGTGATCTGTTAAGAGGATGTCCATCCCCACTTGGAATAAGTCCCTTTTGTCTCAAATTCACCATGTTTCAATTTAGGTCTTGTCTTCCTAACTGGCTTCTTTTCCCATCAGTTCTGTGAAGGGTCATTCTTCCTGTCTCACAGGTCCAGGGACTTAGCTTTGATCCTTCCTTCTGTCTGTGGGTCCTGTCACCATATCTTGACTTCTTTCAAAATGTTGCCTTTCGTCTGTCAGTCTCCCTCACCAACTTGCTTGGTTTACCTGGACTCACATTGACCATGGCTGGATGCCTTCTGCCAGAGCTCTTCAGGACCCCCACCCCAACTTAAAAAAAATAACTTTAAGGTATACAAATTTCATGCATTTTATAAATATACATTAGGAACATAGTGATTCTTCCCACAGGACTTGTCTTGACGGGGTAGAGAGCAGAGGTTCTGGTTTCAGATATTTCAAAACACTGTCCCATTATTGCACACTTTCTTTGACCTGTGGTTTCCTCAGATTTTAGAGTTTAGTTACCTTATAGGATTATT